AATTTAATTTCGAGAATGTGAATTCGAAAACACCTTAAGTAAATAAAAAAATTATTGTAAAAAAATACAAAAAGGAGTGGACACATGGGGCATGATTTGAATTTTTTTTTGACTTTTGAGTAATTTAGAATTTAAATATTAAATTATAACCAGATTTTTAAGTGAATAACTGTAAACTGAGTGTTATATTTATATTAAAATTTTTTGTTATCAACAAAATAAAATTTAATTTTATTACTTAGAATATAAGAAATACTCTTAGTCAACAGAAACCATTACATGTTGTGCATATTAGTTTGAATAAAATACATAACAAAACAGGAGGAGTCCATTCTACACATAAAACCAATAAATTTCGCTACACTTTGAAAACTTCTTATTTCTTTTGAGCTTGGCAATTTCCTTTACACAATCCACCGGCCTTTGAGTCCAATTACAAAAACGGAATGCACATCCAACTTCCTTACCTTTAATCCATAAAAAGGTTTTGGCTTGAATAGATTCCAACGTATTTTGCTATTTTCTCTAAAGTACAAGTTAATCCCAAATATCTTTGAGTTTTCCCAGTATCAAATATATCAATTTACCACTAAAAATATAAGTCCAGCCACCTCCTATCCACACAACCGCCCCCCACACCCAACACCCAATATTCTGCCAATCCCCAAACAATCCCCAAACAGTATTAGGAAAAACACTCTCTACACCTCTCCTCAACAACACCCGTATCCATAATAACCAAACTTCCCTACATTCACAAAACAAATGATCCCAATCTTCCACCACCTGTCTACATAAACCACAACCCACATCCACTCCTTGTAATATCACCTCCCTCCTAGAAAGATTCTCCTTTATAGCCAGCCTATTCAAAAGCAATCTCCACACAAAACCAATAAATTTATGGCCAGAAACCGTTTGAAGTAAACTATACTGTTAAGTTTTTGGGTTTTGGTTATATTTTCAGTTCTGGTTTTTTTAATTTTTAATTATATATATATATATATATTTTTTTTTTTTTTTGTTTCCCACCCCTAGTTGCAAGGGGTACCTTAAATTTGTGGCAACTGAAAAAATCACCTGTAGTGTAGGCTATACTCTAGCCTATTGATGGCGGCGAGTCTTGACGGCAGCAGGTTCTGGCTGACTCTTCTAGTTTCTCAAATTGAAATCAGGGGCCAATAAATGTGTCGATTGGGAGAAGGGAGGGAAATGGGGGATTTTGGATTTGGATTTGGATTTGTCCTCGGCCAGCTCATGGGCATCTCCATATTAGTTTTTCTCTTTTGTTCGGTAAAGGGCAAGTCTTCCACTTTCAAATTAGAAAATTAATCAAGAAGTAAACCTTTTCATTTATCTCTCAAAAATCAACCTTGGGGGACAAGACGTGACAAAAGGAAATTTGATTTTTGTGGCAGTAACAAAAACATTTTGTGACATTAACCACTCGCAGAGCATCCTTGAATTATTTATGATGCTACTGCTAGCATTTAAATGGAAGGCCAAGGCCTGGCCCATCAATCCACTAGAAAAGGATACCCAACCCAACAATCCACGAAGGAAGGACTTAAGGACCGCACACTGAATAATATTTGAATAAATCAATAATTTAATTAATTTAATGATAAATTTTTTAGTAAAAATAAAAAAATTTTAAGTTCAGATGATATGACATACTAATATGGTAAATTATAAAAGGAATTTATCCTCATTATGCAACTAAAAATAAATAAATAATATATATAACAACACTGGAATAACTGTTTTCAATTATAAGGATTTTTTTTTCTTCTAACACATTTTTTTTCTTGATTTTTCCTGCCACTTGAAGCCAAAATACAAACAGAAACACAACAAAAAAAGGACCATCAATCAACAGTCGAGAGGCTGCCGGCTAAAGTTGCCACAGTATATGGTAACAAAATGTGCAGCAGAAACAAGGCCTTTCCTGTTTCCTTCAAGCCCAATTCCAGGTCCGAGGGCATTCTTTTATAAATTTGTATGGTACTTCTCAAAAAAGGAATCATCCAGGGACTCTTGAGCGGTCATCTTTTGCAGCTCCAAGTGAAAACTTTCAATGA